AGCGCCTCCAATTTATTTCCACGGAAAATGCAGCAGCTGCAAAGAGCACAATAACACTGTTTGATAGAGAAAATTCTCAGCTACAAAGCATTACTTAAAGAGCCACCACCGCTAGCTCTGTATTTTCGCTAGCAATGAACACGAGCTTGCATGTTTCATTTATGAATATCTGCAACAGCAGAGGTGTCCCATTGTGCCAATGCTGAAATGCACCACCCACTGCCTCACTGCGCTCACATCCACTGTTTGGACAACAGTTCAGCAAGTACTGATGAATGCCAGCGGGTGCAATTCTTTCCACACGAAGGAATTACATCTGTTGGCCTACACCCTACACCCTTTTCCTGACCTCTACTGCAACAGGAGATGCAGAAGGCATCTATGTGCATGCAGATGGGGGCTCACAGCCCCATGGTACCACAGCAAGGAGGTGGCAGCCAGGGGCTGGGCAGTGCTGGAAGCCTTTTGGCCCAGCTCTCTGCCACTGTCATGTTATGTCTCCAGGCATTCCATTCCAGGCGCCGTTCTCCAGTTGGATTTTGTCCTCGACTAATCAGTACCTAAGCACAAGCCTGGGCATTATCAAATGATATTCATTTGCCAGAACAAAACAAAACAATTGAACAACAAAGTTTCCTTGGCCTTTAGACGAAGCCATGCGGGTACAGGCTCTAACATGACAGGACATCAGCTTCAGCATTGTATTTTTTCTTTCCCCATATAGAACTCCTTAGAAAGCCAGTTCCCAGATCTCAGAAATACCAACATAGGCCTCTCCCTTAAACACGCATTTCAATTTAGAACTGCAGCCTATTTTCCAGAACACTGAAAATCTTCAAAACTGAGAAATATTATTATTATTATTTTTTTTTGCCCTTTGTGTGTTTTTATATGAAGCACAGAGCCCGCTTCTTCAAAGCTACCAGACACACGCTGGTCATTCTGGTTCATCATTTATAATAGTCATGGTGAGAGCCACAAGCACTACCTTTATGTGAAAAGACCATTGTGTCACAAAACAGCCCCAAATTCCTTTATGCTGAGATGCCGTGCCTCAATTACCTTCCAAGGAAACAAAGCCAGATCTATAGGATCTGCAGTGCACATAACCAATTTAGAAAAGCTTTGTGTTCAAAGAAAATCTTAGGAACCCCACCACTCCACAGCGATATTAGTAGCACCTTTTTCCTTAATTAATCTCATTGTTTCAGGGATGAGGGAGAACTAAAGAATCCTTTAGGTTCTTTTCAAAAGGAAAAACAGGTTTTTTATTTGGCAAACAGCGTATTTTTTTTTTAATTCATAAAATTTGTTCTATGGGGGAAAATACAAAATAAAAATGAGGTAAATGTATTGTCTATCTATTCCAATTCTATTTCTTATAGCTGATCTTCTGCATAAACAGATCCACTTGCATAAGTGATTTTGTATACTCCTCTGAGACAATAAACAAGCCTAGCTTTCACGTTTGAAGATTAGATGGCAAAATATCCATGTCCTGAGAAGGACGAGATTGCCTCCCTCTTGGCTTACCCAGTGAAAATTAAATATTTCTCCTTCTTGCCATGCACTCTATGTCTCTGTAATTGCTCATTGATCTGCTACTGCCTATATTCTGAACACTACTGGAAGCAAACAGCTTCACAAACACCGAGTTTGGTTCAACGTCCCAGAGTTCAGTGACTATGCAAAGCAGCTTGACAAACAGCAACCTAGCAATCAGAAAGCAGCAATGAAACCACATCCTCACATGCGCTGTAACACTGGGTTTACTCATAGTGAGAAAATGAATATCTAAAATGTCTCAATGCTCGACTAATAAGCCTAGATATTTAATCATTTGGACTACTGTGTAATAAAACAAGCACAACAGACTTGGTTGGAGATTTTTATAGCTTGAGCTAATCCAGTTGCATAGGGAATGTGAAGATGTGAGCTCCTGTTGCCTTTCCAACTTCTTATTTCAAAGCAATTAGCATTCTTAGTGCATGCACATGCATGAGTACGTCACTAGACAGCAGAAAGTCTGCCTGCTTCATGCAGTAGAAAAAACACCATAGCAATTCACTCAATAAAATTATATTGCAATTGATTTGAGAAAAAAGACATCAACTGTTATTGGTTATCAGCAAGGTCTCATTTTCTGCTGCTCTGAAAAACACTGTGTGAGGGAAGCATTTTCTGCTCCCTGCTAAATAAAAACAGCATTTTCAGTGCACTCAATTAGCACTGTTTTAGGTCTGTATCAGATTCATCATCACAGCTAATTGATTTCAGGCACGGGCCAATCTCACCATCCAACATCGTTATGCAGAGGTAGGTGGTGAAAAGGAAAACATATCTCTGATTAAGAAAAGCAGAGGGGGAGGCACATCATTTACAGGCTGCACACGGCATTTGCTCTTGCAGGAAAAGTGTGTGGTTAGAAATATTCTGAAGGAATGACCCACAATCAACTTTACAAGGCTGCTTTGAAAGCCCCCAGATAGGCTATTTTCAGTTAGCCCAAGCCGGCTGAAGCACACTCATCTTTACTTCAGAAGAGAATGCAGAAGAGAAAAATTCATTGGTGTTTCCTGGCTTATTTACCTGCCACCCTTTACACCTGATAGGTCAGTCATAAAGTAGAAGTATGGTCTGGGGCAGAGAGGTGTATAGAGGAAATAACAGTAACAAAGCGTTTAATATTTCTAGAAAGCCAAAACAATGATCATAACTTGCTAGCTGTATCACAGCTTGCATTCAGCTCCCTGTATGTGCTGATGGGATAATCTGAGGTCAGCGCTTACCAGAGGAAGGAAAGATGCCCTCCTGCTTTCTTTGCCTAGAAGTGAATGTTACTGTAGCAGGAGTAGCTTTCCTAGCCCACAGCCCACTCTGGAATTCCAGCAGAGAAAAGGCTGGAAATGTCCCTCTTCTCCCACGCCTTTATGCAGGCACAAACCTGTCATTCCCCAGACCTGTTTTCATGCCAAGTTGCATGTTTATGTGTGTCCTCTTTAACACTTTGAAAATAAAACAGAGCTGTACTTCCCTGCATCTGTTGACTTTCATCTCAGTGCTGCTACTCTGCTAGAACAGAGGGCAAAGCATGCCTGGCTCCACAGACAGACATCAGCCCACAAAGCCTGCCAGTACCCAGCAGCAAGCAGCACCATGTAATCAGTCCCACAGAAACTTAGAGCCATTTAATTAAGTCCTGTTTTCCTGGTCTCAGAGAGCATTAAGCAGCAGCTCACCTGTTCCAGCTTCACCTCATTAATTAGAGACCTCCTCCTCTGAGTGCAGGCAGGTGCCTCAGGCAGCAGCCAGCCCAAGGCTGTCCAGCAATGCTGTAGCACCACATGCACAGCTCGTGCCATGCCACAAATGAGAATCACATCCATCTTCCTCATGTATACACAAAGAAGTAAATAGCTGCCGGTTTTCTTTCCCCTTGTTACTCAGACCATGTGGATAGGGTATTCACAAAACTAATTCCTATTAGATTTGGCATGCACCATACTACACCATCCACTTTTACCATACTTTCTATTACAACCTGCAATGTATTTTTACCTCTCTTTCATCTCCGTGTAGTCGAGGGCAGAAATGAACTTCATTTTTCAAGGCTTTAAAAGCTTAAAATGACATTTCTCTCAGGCCGTTTTGCATACATTCTATTAACAATACCTTAGCAGCAACAAACACAACACATTAAAAAGCTGCAGTAACACAGCTGTGACAAAGAGCACTGCTGCATGAATTTGCTGTCTCACTAAGCCAAGGAAGCTCAGGGAAGCATTTTCATGTTTCTGCTTCAGGCCACAAGTGAGCAACAACTGAAGCTTTATCTGGGTAGAGTACTGCTGACTGCTTTGACTAAAGTATTTACATTCCTTCTCATTTATATACCTTCTGCAGTCGCAACCAGCGCGGCCTACCAGCACTTCTGACGGTTGCTGCTCACACTGCAGCACCTTTTCCCTCATGAGGGGCGGCTGGTGAGCAGCACGCCATTCTCCTCAGCTAATGTATTCTGGCTTCATTTATGGACCTGTGAAAAGCTACCCTGAATGTTCATTTGCACGCCTGACAAAGGCAGCTACATACTTTGCAGATGGACTAGTCGATGCTGGTGCAACATTTAGAGGAGCATACGTTAATATATGTAACAAAAAAATAATCAAACAGCAAAGGCCCAAACATGCCTCCTTCTGGTAGCAGCCACCCAGCCCCAGTGCTGCAGGTAACAAACTGTTCCACTGAGGAGCAGTGCCTTTTGATTTGCTCCCACTTTGATACAAAGGCTGATGGTGAGTAATTAACTGTGCTACACTGCAGCCTTCCCCAGTCCCAGGCAGGCAGCCCAGCCCTCAGCCACCTCAGCACAGTACCAGGCCTGTGACAGGGCTGATGTGGAAGAGACGCCGAGCAGATCATCCATAACGCCACAGTAGCATCTCACAGCTAGGGAAAGACACAATTTTTGTTCATGAAAGGCTCACTTACCATTTGTTGGCTCTCTTCAGCCACTGCAGGCCAGGCTTAACTCAGAGGACTCTTCCACATGCAGCCCCAGCAGCCGCCGCACTGCCAAAGCCTGCTCCTGGGCACACAGCTGGTCCTGAGGGCACCAGCCACCTGGGGGGGGCTTAATTGTCCCAGCAAGGCCCAGCTGCAGCCATCAGCCCGTAGCTGGGCCAGAAGCAGCAGGTCACAGCTCCAGCCCTGCGCCCCATTCTGCTCCCTCCCTCTATTCCCTGACACTGACATCCCTCAAGGATAAAAATCTTGTCCCAGAATAATTTACTGTAATATAAGCACTTCAGGAGTTGAAAGTCTTAAAAATGGGTTCAGCAAAGTGCTGTGAGCAGACAGTGTTTCTTCCCTTTCTGCTCCCCCACACAGGGAGCTAAATCCCTTGTACAGGTGCCGCTCGTCAGCTAAACAAAAGCAACCAACATTTATAACATCACACAACAGCAGAAATGTCCACAGAGCAAGCAAATTCAACTGTGTTTGTGCAATATGCTTTTATTTTTATCCTTTGCAGTCATCTTGGAGTAATCATGTAAACAAGAGGATGGAATGGAATTACACTGAGTACGCAAGTGGCTCTAGAACACCTCAACAATTATGACAAGGCATTATAAATAACTTCTCTTAATAATATATATTTGCTGTTTTCAGTACATTAAAGAGCTGCCATTTATCTAGGATTAGCTAGGAAGTAGTTTAAACTGTAATGTCCAAGGAACTTGTCTCCAGATTGGATAATCTTCCTAAGATTCACTAGCTCCATAACATCTAGACCACAGGTTAAGCATAAGACTACTTGGATCAGAAATGTTTTCTCACAGAGTTTTACTGAATCATTGCAGAAAGCCCTATTATTTTCACTCCATATTGGTATTTTCCAGAATTTCAAGTAAAGCTTCAATTCTGTTCAAGTTTTCATCACCTGTATGAAACCATTCTCTATCGTTCAGGATTAGTCAAATCAGAGATAGACACAATAAGCAGTCTACCTTAACGACAATAGTTTAAAGTAGTTCTAGCTTATAGACTCCTCAAAAAAGCACAATCAAAATTGTCTTAACACCTTTGCTACCATATAACCCCTCCTTGCTCAGACTGTATGTATAGTACCATATACATGGTACTTCTAGAAAATTGAGATTATTCTAAATTTTAGCAGCCTCAGGCACATACTTAAAACATTAATGTCTTCAAGGCACCTCCCACACCCTTCAAAATCAGTTTGTGGACTGGTTTTTAGACATAATCAAAGCTTACTAATGCATACTTGACTTGAAGAAAAAAAAAGAAAAAAAAGCCCTAGAATAGTCAAAGATATACCTGAAACATTTTTAAATAAAGAAAGATTAACTGCAAATAGCATGTAATCAAGTCCAATAGTTTTCTTATTACTAGGATGTGTAATGCATAAATATGAAAAATAAAATTCACAGTCAGTTTTAAAACTAGAATTCAAGTTCAGCTAGTAATTCTCAATTTTTGTATTTATGTTAACTTCTAAATATAACATAACAGAGGCAGTATTATCATCCACAAGTACAGGAAAATAGTATCACTCAAAACTTTAGGAAAGAAGATATAAAATTCCTTTTGTAACCAATAAATATAGCCACCTGAGTGCATTTCCACAGGCTTTTCACTTAGGGGAAATCCAAATCAACTGCTAAGAGACATTTAGTAGCATTTTGAATGTTAGCAGCAGCGGTGTAGCTGTGGGCTTTGCTCGTTCTGACTTTGTGAATTGCTAGAGAATGAAGCAGAACTCAGTGTTTGGTGCGTTAATTTTCCTTTGCATCTAAGCTGGCTTCTTCACAATCTCACAACTCGACTTGGGGTCAAGGGACAGACATCAGCTGACACTTAACTGAGCAAACCCAATCAGTTTCACTTCATCAGGAATCTCAGTGCCATCGCAGCCAGAGGCCTGCAAGTACAAACAGAAATATTTAGTGTATCACATTAAAAAGGAGCGTTTGACAGTCCTGGCTTTACAATTTCCCGTTACTACCTAGTGAGCAAACAGATTACTTGAAGGAAACCTCTCAGACTGCTTGGTGTATTTTCTGTCAGCATCAGTCAATGCATCCTTCATTTTAGCTAAATCTATATTTAAAAAAAAAAAAAAAAAAAAAAAGATGAAAAGGCTGGGAAATGAACAAACAAAACACCTTCCACAGCTATTCCAAAAGGTCACTTAAAGACCAAAATTCTTTAACTTAAACTTTCCAGAGCCGAATATGCTTTTCATTGGAGCATGCTGTTTTCACTTGTGGAGAGCAAATAACCTACATGTACAGAATCTACCTTTTGCTAGTGTGCTGCAGACACCAAATATCTGAAAAACCCTTATGACCCCAGCAATCGAGTCCGCTTGAAATACCAACCCACTGAAATTTTCAGCACAAAGCTGGAGGAGTTTACGAAGAATAAAACCTAATGATTGCAGAGGAACATCTTCGTGACCGTATCATCTATTTCTTCAGATTGAACAATTCAGAATCTTCACTAATGTCTGCTGCAGCACAAACTAGCACAAATCTACTTACGTTTAGCAAATATAAGAACAGTAAGAATATAAGAATATCTTGCCTTAAGTCTGCTTTAAGATATCACACATGTAGGCAAAATATTTTAATACCTTGATTTTTAAATACAAAATCAGACTACGTAGCTCAGAAAGTACATTTTTTAATTCGTTCTTTACCTATGTGGTAAATAATTTGAAGTAATATCAAGTATGTAATGGCAGATTATGCAAAATTGCCTTTGGACTTTTCGGCAGATCCCCCCCAAGAACAATTGGTTCATTCCATACAAACACTCTTGACCCTCTGATACCCTCAATTTTTTGCAGCTGAACCTTTTCATAGAATTTGGTCTGTGCATATCCAATATCAGGACAAACATTCTCAGACAACGCACACAGTATTCACCCAGTGACATTATCCACTGAATTCTCACAACCAAAAATAACTTTATTTAGTAATTTTGGAAACATTACATCAAGCTACTCCTTTAAATTACCTTTTATTACACTCTCTTCACAGTGTATTTAAGATGCTTTATCCTGGTGAAGTAGCAATTGAAGTCTTAAGTCATCACCACTGGTCATAATTAAGATACCTCAATGTTTTATTAATTGGAAATTTACTAAAATTTACTAAATGGAGTTTGAATTTTGTATGTAAACTATCATGATATAAGGAGCTAGTATTATTTTCATCATTCTACACTCTTGCTAGCTGTAAAAATCCTTACATAAAGTGCTAATTATGCTACTTAATAATGTTGTTACATTGCATATTGTCAAGATTACTTGTGTATTAAAGCAGCCTCCTTCCCTAAGTGCAGATAGCTGAATCATGCAGAAAAAACTTGATTCTGTGTTAACCAAGACAATAAAGGAGATTCAATATGTTCTGTACAACTGCATCATTTTAAGATCAAAGATGCATTTAAATACACACAAGGAGATCAAACCTTAACAACAGACTCAGACATCTCCCTTAAATTATTGCCAAAATAATAAAGAAGTTCATTACAGACAAATACGGTTAAGACACAGGTTCTTCTTGTTTCCCAGAAGATTGAAATGCTTTGTTGCGTGTACAAAAATACTACACCAGAAAGCAATCTGCAAGCAGTGAGATACTAACCAGATTTCTTGTCCACAAATAGTAACTAATCCTAAACTAAAGAACACTTTTCAATTGAATTCTCTGAATGGATATAAGATTAGCCAGATTTAGACTTCGAATCCCCACGAAGTATTTACAAGAAAATGTGTTTTAATCAAATTGTATACAAGTGCTCTCAAATCCTGCTAAGAGGTAACAAAAACAAATGACAGTCTTCTTAGGCAACTCCACTACACAGGAGCAGGTAGAAATTGAACTTGAATTAAATAAATCAAGGGTAAGAATAAACTAAGATACTACTTGTGGTTATGTTCAATTCCCAGGAAGTTAAAAATGTCAGGAAGAGACTTTGATTAAAAGTTAACCTTGGGAACTGTTACCTAGCCAGTAGAACTTACCTTAAGAAGGAAAGAGACACTGAATTACAACTGACTATTAATTCTGATCTTGGTAAAGCCTAGGAGTATTCTCTCACTGGAATGTGAAATATGTGACACTGACTGCTCCCCAGCATTTAAGTAATAAATCCAGCTGAAACACAGAAATATCCCAATCTAAATTAGATGGTTGGATTTTTTTTTGTTTTCAACATACACAAACATTAACTGGACACTGTGGAAAATATTAAATGTTGAAGTTTAAAGCCCCTAATTAAAGAGCATGAATTAGAAACAACCCAGACTTCTATATAGACTCTGGTATATCTATGTTTCTAAATAGTCTTCCCGAGATGCCATCAGCTGAATAATGAAGTCATAGTCAGATGTTTAGACTACAAGAACAGATCATCTGGAAAAAAAAAAAAGATCAGCTTTTAAGCTGCATTTAGATTGTAAGGGCCATTTGAATTACATGTCCCACATCACGATCCCCTCCTAAAAGCAAACAGGTTCTGCTGACTTTACTGGACCGTAGAGGAATAATGAAGCTAAATTATTTAATTGTTAAAACTACTCAAATCTATATTTTAAAAAATGACATGGGAAGAACAATCCTGAATTAACACATTATCATCAGCTAGGTCACTTACTCTAAAAATGGCTTTCTACAGCCCATAAGAAGCAGCTGCTTTTATAAACAAAGCTATGATTCTGGAGACCTACTTACCTAATAGACACTCAGTCTAGTCTTTCACATGTGCCTGAGTCACTCTCAGCAAGGGGTGCTGAAACCTAATTGGCAAGAGTTTGGTATTTACAGGGCTAATCTTTCAACAGCTTTAGGTATCCATATTTTTCAATTTGATTTTGGAAGACAGACACAAACATAGCACATCTATTCTGAATTAAGTTTTTGGAATGTTAAGCTATTAATTCATCCATCAGGACAGCATCAAAATCAACCAAAATTGGGATCCACGTTCCAAGACAAAATGTGCATCTCTAAACAATCACGGGCACATACCTGTGGTTTGACATGCTATATAGATAAATTTTTAATTGTGGATTCTCTGTTAAAAGAAAGTTGATGGGAAGAACTAAGGACAAGAGAGCAGTAGAAAGACTGATCTGAATTTAATTGAAATGCTGGCAGGTGTTGGTAGAAGTGGAGTTGGAACAATGTGTCCTCAGAACTGATGCGAGTTCCTCCCCCTGCAAAGTTATGGAGCTACATGACTGCACATATCCCTAACGCCCTGTCAAAGCTGGTTTTAGGTTCTCTCTCTCACACACAGTAATTTCAATCATCTCATCTATGAACACACTTATTCAACAAAACAGTGAAAATGAGAGAAAACACAAACTGCACTAATGTTACAATAATTAGTTTCTTTCTTCCTCTCAACTTTTTGGACTATTTAAAACCATTTCCCTTGCACAGGTTAAGTTCTTTCATTGAGGACTACCCACATTCAGTAAGGAAATTACTACACAAAATAGACTTTGGAACAGGCTCCTCAGGACAGCGGTCACAGCACCGCACCTGCCGCAGCTCAAGAAGTGTTCAGACAAACCTCTCAGAAATATGGTTTGATTTTTGAGTGGTCCTGTGAGGAGCCAGGAGATGGACTTGATGATCCCTGAGGCCATCCCTTCTAACTCAGGATATTCTATGAATGACGAACAAGCGTTTCTCCTGCTTGCTCTTCCAGCTGTGCAGCACAGCTGCTCAGTGGCATTGCTCTGCGCATAAGCAACTCTGCAGATAGAAGTTTTCCTTGCAGAAGAAGTTGACATACTCCCTCATATCTAAGTTTGTATGCAATTGTTCTCTAAGACTCCCCAACTCTTGCAGTTCCTCCTCCACCTTATCAAAGTCAGAAGTTTAATTATACGTGAATGTAATGAAACTTTGACAACTGCATTGGATGATGGAATCCAACTGGTTAAAAAAATACTAGGAGAGAGAAAAGAGAATGAGAAAGGGCGTATAAATACAGTTGCTTTCACCATCACATATTCAGAAGAGTTACTGTTTCAGGTTCAAAGCTTCCTTTGCTCTGTTCAAATGTTACAAGCTCAAATCTTTAGGAGTAGTTTCTTATGACGTTTTCTAACTGATATAGAGAAGGTCAGAAAAAGTTTTTCAGTTTTTGCCAAATAGTTGGCACAGCATTCAAAGCTATTTGAGAAAGAATCAACAGGCTGCTCTTTAATATGAGAATATTTCTGTTTCTGAAGCTGCATGTACTGTATGACTCATTACCAACTCTCACTTACCAACTTAAAAGTTAATGTTTTCAAGGCCTTTGGATCATCTACAATCTTCTGTAAGTTAGCAGCAACTGTAAAATAAAGTATGAAGAAAATGATTTACAGGAAATTGCATTCAACATAGCATCAGACCTTGTTCATGCTGGATTATCATCTTAACTACACATACATACATACATGCCTGCACATTAGCACTTGAATCATTTAATTACTCCCAGTTGTAGTGCGGATGTCAGCAGTCAGACTGCCATAAACCTGTTTCCTCTCTTTTGCTGTTATTTTATTCCATGTGTATATTGAGTCAGAGAAAAAAGTCAGACTGAGAACCTAGTGATAGCTAAAACTCAACTACTAATTTTCTGCCTAGTCTACTGCTCAAGATTGCTTAACAACCTGACAAATTCAAGTGCAAGGAAAGTTGCAAGCAAGTAGCAAAGGATAAGCAGAACCACAGCTGTCTCGAGACTTACACTGCAGTTCTGCCAACAGCCTCAGCCTCCATCAGCGCAGGATTCTACGATAAGGCTGAGTTCACTTTCTCCTCTATCTTCTGCTTGTTTAATGAGAGAACATTCCTGTTTCTGAAACTACTTCACCTGGCTGTATACCAGGCCAGTAATAGTACTCATTCAGAACCATAGCAATCTGCTAGAGGGCAGTGAACCAGCAGGAAAAAAAACAAACAAAACAAAACAAAAAAAAAACAACAACAAAAAAAAAACCAGCAAAAATAAGAGTGATTAAAAAAAAAAAGCTGATTTTTAAACTGCTCTCTCAGTGAGCTTGATCAAGATTGGCAATGCAACAGCAGTAAACACTCATTAGATATAGACATCAAGAGAACAGAAAAGGAGGGAGAAAAGTAAACTCCTTTTGTATGAAAGCACCTAACATCCATTTTAAATTGCAATGTTAATTCTTATGGTTGTGATTTTTATTTTTTATATGCAATGTTATTAACATTCATCTTCACCAAAAAATTTGGTTGCCTTTTGGCTGTTGGTTTGCTAAACTTGCTCCCCATCTTCATGCTAGACCCTGAGCTGAGTTCAGACTGAGTAACTAGAGTGCCTCTGTTAAAAAGTCACTAATAAGGACAAGACATCATTAACCAGACATCAACATAAGAAAAAGGCTCCATGCTTTGCAGAGCTACTGAGACAAGAAATAAACAACTTAAGCAGAAGATTTCTTAGTACACTGAATAGGTAAGTATCATAAGATAGATGTTCTCCGTAAATATTTGCCACAGATTTTGTAAGGTGGAAAATAAGACTGTGGCAAAGCTATGTGCGAGCTGAAAGCGCTACTGCCACACCAAGATATATAGCATGCATCAAATTCAGGTTCCTACCTCCTGCACTGGTTCTAATGCCACGGAGACAGTTTTCACTTTAGTGCCTGGTAGTGTATAATTCACTGCACATAGCAGAATGGAATTTGGCCTCATGTAGGGAAATATAGTATTTGGCTAGGGAATTCACAGAGGTAAACAAATATGCCAACATAAGCTCTGTCACCAACAAATGCAAACCAGAATTTTGGGGGTCTCATTTTTTCTTTATCATTGAGATGTCCCAGAGTACTGTTTGTAGACGTGTACAAATTCAACTGAAGATGAAAAGATGTTTGAAACTAAAAACAACCCTTAAGAAATAAGCACAAGGTACATTCTGTACAGAACGCTTCTTGGAAAGAACAAATAATTAACTTTCACAGTTAAATGAACTCAACAATAGTCATTACAATAGAAAGTCTTTCCAATTTTAAAGCTTCGTTATTCATAATCTTCTTTATTCTACTCATTATAAGTGGTTTTTATTTTAATCACACAATTCACTTACACAATCAGCAAGTCATTTTTTATTGCAGTACCTCCTACCTAGCAAAACACATGCAAATACAGATGCTTTTTACTACAATTAATATTTAAGAATCTACACAAGAATCTCACAAAAAATTGTGCTGACAGTTCCTCAAAATACGATACAATATCTTAAAGCTTGTATGTCTTCAAAATCTATTAAATAAGATCACACATTCAAGAGCAGTTCTATCTTACTCTTCTTGAGTAAGTTCTATCTTGAGATAAGCAGTTCTTATCTTATCTCAAGGCCTCACAAAACATTTCTTTAAAATAAAGAAAGAAAAGCCAGCTTTTGTCAGCTGGCTTCACCAAAATAGAGATACAGAGCTACAGACTGTGGTAAGGTCTTGGATCTCTCAGGTCCAAAGATTTCTAGCTTCACCTATTACAAAATGATGAGCTTCAAATGGGCACTTGCCTTAAAGAGGAGCAGCTGTTCTCTTAATGTTACCCAGATGCAGGACAACTATGGCAAGTCAGCATGCTGCCTGGCTGCTGCACCTGAATGCAAGAACTGCCACCTGCCTTTAGGCAAAGTTGCTATTCCTACATTCGCACGTATTGCCCAGTTTATCAGCAAGTGTTTTAATAAACTATTGCACAGGGGACATATGCACTGAGGTCTTCACAGGTAGCATCAAAATCTTAAAAAGCTTAATGCCTTCCTGCTGATTCTTCATCAAGAAGAAATTCAAATCTTCAAAGCAAAAATTGCATAAGATAAACTATAAACAATAAATGTAAATACTTAATGTAAATGTATAGGGAAATAGTTAATTCTATTTACTTATCTTTATTAAAATCCATAGCAAAAAGAAGTGATATTTATGTGGGTGACGTTCTTGAAGAAAAACTGCTTTTCAAAGAACAGTGCTCATTTAAAGTCTACAGTTTTCTGTGTTTGTCTCAACTTTCAATACGAACGCAAGCCAAAACCTTTTACATATAAAAAGCTGGAAAAGCATCACGTGGAAGAATATGAAATACCCTTTATTTTTGTTTCTCTGATAGGCCACAATTAGAGTGGGATGTGTTTAATCAAACATTAGGATTAGGAGAATTTTAAGAGTGATGCCAGATGTTTTCAGGCCACACTTGAAAAAGATAAAGACCTGCACTGAGTACATAATATTAGAATAAAAATTCACATAAAAACGGAAACACCTGCAGTCTCCCAAAGAGATATCTTTTCAATTTCAATTATATAAATTCAGCATTGTTCAAGTAAAACAAGTGTTTCACTAGTGACTTTTGGTGTTACGTATTTTCTGGCTTTTCTAGAATAGCAAGAAAAATGAGTTTGCCAGAATATTGTAATCAGTACCATTCTATCAAGCCACAACGAATGAAAACAAACAAACAAACAAAAAACCAACCCTGTCTCCTGCAATATCTGAAAATCCAAGTCAGTATCAACCATGAATGAAACATGCATGATTACCTAGCAAAACCACATAGTCTTGTTGATAGCTTGTTCTTTTTCCTAACTCCCTGCCTTCTTCTGGGCAGTGCTAGGTGTCTTGTCCTTACCAAGAACAAGGCCACCCAACAGTCTGAATTTGGATACATAAGTCTGCATTTCAGGAAACTAAAAATAAGGTTGTGCTCTTTGCACCTTAGTGTAAGCCAACTGTTTTAGGTACTTCAGTAAGTAGAGGCATGCCCAATGCTTAACAGCTTAAAGATGTTGACTCAACTAATAGCTGGAATCTTTCAGTGCCTGATGTAAATAGCTACAAAGAAATAGCAGTAATGCCAAAACTGCAGGTGGCCGTGGCATCTTGAGTTTAGTTATTTTCTTCTAGAAATAGAGCCTGAAGCACAGGCAGCAGGAGCCATCCAAGCAGCTGAAAATCCTTCCTGACAACCAGCTTGCAGCTTCCAATTACTTGCCCAGAAAGTTTGAGATGTCATCTTCACTACAAAGGTGACATTCTCAAGGTTACAAAAATGAAATTTAACACACTCCAGAGTGGAATACTCAGCCAACTTTAAATTAAATTATTTACTGCATTTAATACTATTATTACATATTTATTTCCAGAAGTTTAGGACTGTTATTAAACCTATGCAATTTGGATGATGAAGCATGCTGTGTCTTGGCAGATACCTGGAAATTCCTATCAGATATGCTCACAACAATAAACAATGTTCCTACATACAAGCTGCTGCTACTGTTCAGCCCTGTTCAAAATTACTGGCTGCATCAAGAAAGAAAGAAAAATCTCTCTTAAGCAGTACTGCTCTTAAGTGGCCACAGCTACTGAATTTGGTCTCTTTTCATTGAGGAAATTGATTTACTACATTGACTCACTAACCCTCCCAGTGAGGTTACATAAAAAGTTCTCATATTCCTTAGATATGAAAAAATGAGCCTAAAGTTACTAAATGCAGATGAATCCAGTCACATCTGCAAATGCTATTGAAATCCTAAGGGAAAAAAGAGAAAAGTAACCATCTCTCTCACTCTCTCTCTACCTTCTTTCTCCATGCCCTCAACAATTTTCTTTGCTTTTCAACTTAGTGAACAAAGTCACTAAGTTTAATAAATTTAATACAGTAATGCTCTCTTTCATCAGATGAGAACAGGTTTACCTTAGGAGTTTTTACGGAGGACTGTGGCACTGAGAAGGGAGGAATCATTCTCTCCACTGATGCTTAAGCTGTTTGAAAAGCAGGGACATTTTAAAACACATCTCTGGATTCTACTTTACGCCTCATCTCTAAGATAAGTTTAACTGCAGTTTAAATTGACAAAGCAATTTTCATTGAAGTACTCTGAAGTCATGCCTTGGATACTGTACTTCTGAAATTCATAGCAGATCACTGTAGTCTGCAATCAGCATTAACTGATAATTTGAAAAACTTGTCGGGAATTCGCTGCTTCCATGGGGCCTGAATATGCTAGATCCAACATTTTATTTTGCAGAGTGTATTCTCAAGACGTTTTGGCCTTGCTACTATACAAGTCAGAAGAAACACGGACAAGATAACTGCACAACAGAATGAAGCAGTGATAGAAGAACCTTTGCCAGCAAAACCTGCAAGTAAATAGAGCACATTTCAAATCACGTCTTGGAGCAAATACCCTCTTCAAATGTTAGCAGCAGTTAGCACAATAGACTTTTGTTGTTTACAGCAATAAATGAGGTGCTGTTCACCTTGCTTCAGAAGGCTTCTGAAGGACATACAATCAACCCCTGC